GGGGGGGGGGGCTTGGCTGCTCTTGCTGCTGCTGCAGCCTCGGTTGTCCCCTTGTGCCCGCTGTTTCTGCTGAGGGAGAGGGGGTGGCATCCGCAGCTGGCTTTAACCCTGGCTTCTCGCCTGGAGCTCCTCAGTAATGCAGATACGATGCTGCTGGGAGTCGCGCGCTCACCGCCTCCAGGACGCCCTCAGGCCACCTAGCAAGCTGCTTGGCACCATCCAAATTCCGGGACCCAGCGAGTCCCGCTGCAGCTTCCCGGCTCCCCCAGCAGCTCTAGGCGGCGGATTATCTGATTAATACTTGCTTGGCCATGGACACGAGGGCCGCAGAAATGCCTTTAGTAATTCAAGCAATGAGGGTTATTTTATTTTAGCTGCTAAACGCAGGGAGGACAATTACACAAGCTAAGCCCATCGATTTCTGCTGAAACAAGGAGTAGAAAAATCTTTCTACCTCCAACAGCCGAATTATGTCCGGTGTTTTAAAAAACAAACAAGCCCATCTTCATGCGCTGGGGAGGCTGGGGTGGAACTTCCCTCCTCATGCAATCCCCAGCGGCTTCTACTCAAGGTCTGATTTTCATTCCTGTCTTCTCAGTTTTAGCATCAGGTTCTAGCTCTTCGAGGGACCCTTATGTGAGAGAGCCTCAGCTGTATTGATTTTTAGATGACTTTAACTAGAAACCACATTTCCCCCAAACTATATCCCAACTTTAACAAATCCCCAGCCACACAAAGCAAAACCTAGTTGGGTCCCCTGATACAGCCTAAACTGCTATTCCCCATAAATCTGCATAGTTATTCCAGGGTTATTACATTCATATATTCACATTTCAAAATCAAGGTTGTGGAGGAAGTGAGTTTTACAAAAGGGATTGTTTATACTCCTCAGTGTCCAGGCCTGAGGGGTCTGAAAGGCCATCCCGACAGCTCCCAGAAGAACGTAACCTTATCAAAAGCACACGGAAGCATTAAGGACATTGACATAGGCCTACGTGATGGACAAGTTCAACATCAGAGACATTTGCTCTCTCTAATAATTAAAAACCACAGGGGAAATTTTTAAAACTCAAGTCTAATTAAGGTTTGTCCTTCATGAAACTCCTGGCTCCATCTGGTGTACGCGTTAGCTTTTGGTCTGAAAAGGGCTAGTTCAGGCCTGCGGGTAGACTGGTGGGTGCATTAAAGAGCTAGCGGCTGCATTTATAGTGGACAGCAGAGCTGTCTCGTCAGAAAACGGTGCGGGCAGAAGGGACAGCGCCTGATGACTGGCCCCTCGGTGGCTCTATTTTTACAAATGTCTCGGTGTTCTTAATCCCTACTCAGGACCATGGCGCTGGCTGGATGTGGGAAATAGCAATTTTCTTTCCAGGCATTTTAATGGGGATCATATGTGGCTGTGTGTATCTGGGATTTGGGGGTACTGATCTGCATGTCGTCTTTCCTTAGTACCCCGTTCCAGGGCTTGGTTCCAGTGTCCCCTTGTCCGGCTGTGACCTCACTCTTCCGTCCTCTCTGTGGCTCCTGTTGCTTGTCCTAAAGGCTGGGAGTCATCGGTGAGGTTCGCACCGGGGAGAAAGTGGGAGCCTCTTCCCCATACCCAGGAATCCTCCGGAGTTCACAGTTCTCTCTACATCATCGTGATGAATTAATAGTAACGTCAGTGCAGGCAGTGGCGAAACCAGCAGTGGGCCGCTGGCCGCAGAGCCATTCACTCGGCTGCCCGGGCATCTTCGGTGAAGTGCTGAATTTCTTTTGGTCACGTCTGAAAGGGCTCATGGCTTCGCCTTCGTGCTAGAATCTGGAGGAGAGTNGGAGGAGAGCAGAGCCGGGTGAGTGCCCGCAGAAGCATCTGTTTTGACAGGGGCCGTTTGGAGATGGAAATGTGCTTTGTGTGGATATCTGAGTTTGTTGGAGGAGGGAAAAGCAAAAGAACGAAGGAGGGGGGAGTGACAGAGAAAAATTAAGGAAGAGACAGCCGGAGAAAAAGCAAGCCAGGCTGCCGCAGTGGGGACAGTTGGAAACTGCATGGTCACAGCCCCTCTGTGACATTCCTGTGCCCAGTGGGGTTTCAGAACCCCTGGCTGGGCCAGTTTCATCCCCTGCTGGAGAGAGAAACAGTGCGGGCCCCGGAAATCATGCGCCACTCAAGCCCAAGGCACAGAGCCCCGCCCGAGCTCAGGGTGCAGCAGCCCGTCGTGGGTCGACCTGGTCCGGGTCAGATTATGGGAAAGCAAGGGCCCTCCCTATATATAAAGCAGCCAGCGTGGCCCTTGACCTCCAACTGTCCCCACGGGCAGCCTGATATCTGGTCTGGCCAGGCCCTCAGCAGGCATCAGAGGACTGAGCTGCAGTACCCTTCAGGGTGCCAACATAAAGAAGGTGGGAGAGGGTCCCAGGCAGCAGTTTAGTGCCCAAGCATGCCAGGCCCCATGCCGTGAGCTTCTCTGGCCTTCCCCTTGACCCTTGGAGACACCTGGAAAATCCCACGAGGAGAGAGGCTGGAAATGTGGGTGGACAGGACTGGAGCAGTTATGGGGAACTCATTAAAAATCTCAGGAATTCCACACAGTGACCCTCAGCCTTTGCCTGCAGACTGGAGGGTCCATTGCCACCCACCTGGCTCAAAAGTGGAGCCACCCCCTGTGAGCTAGTTCTTAGCTGTGCCCTCCTGCCCCCTGTCCTTTGCACCATCCCCAGGACAAACATGTCTGCTGATCCCCCCCAATTCCATTCCTTACTCTCTCCCAAAGATTCCCACTAAACTAGTTGCAGAGAGAGTCCACATTAGCTACCAAGCCCATCCGTCTTAGCTTTTACCTGTAAATATGTGCAGACAATGAGAGGTTCTCAGACACAGGGCCACCGAGCACGGAGAACCTAACCTATCACTCTAATGTGTTCCCTGAGGAGAAATTCAGGAGCTGGCAAAGGAAGGAGAGATGAGCAACTGGGGCTCAAAAAAGAATTCTTGAAGATGAAAACAGAGTTTTTGAGAATAAAAGTAAACTTGGTAGAGGCAGTGGATATTGGAAGGGCAGAGCTGAGATCTGATGCTATGAATTCAGCTCAGTGTAGTTCAAGGAAGCACAGCCACCCCGAAGCGCAGAGGCACACAGGTGGGGACTACAATGGGACTGCTTAGGAAGAAGGGGAATCAGGGGACCTTTTCTGTTTTCACGTCACAAGTTCCAGGAAGGGACAAAGGAAATGGCGGAGGTGAAGCAATGATCAAAGGACCAAGACGTTTTCCTTGAGCTGAAGACTTGGATCAAAACTGGCCCCAAGTGCTGGGTGGAATAATTTTAAAAGTCACATTTAGGAATTTCAAGGATAAAGAAAAGTTGTTGATGTTGTTAATTCTCACCGAAGGATATTTTTTCCCATTGATTTTTTTTTAGAGAGGGAGGGAGGGAG